TAATACAATATTACAACAATGGAAACGTGTGTACAATTTGAAAGACATGATGAACACAAAGTATGTGGAGCGAGACTATTTTATCTATGTCAAGATTTTGTTGATCTTAAAAAAAATATCCAAGAATAACCCGGGCAAATCGAGAGGGGGTCAGAGTGCGGGGGGGGGGGGGGGGCTGAGGTAGGGGTTTTAAGAGGGGTTTTGATTGGAGGGTAAGAAACATCAATTTTAGGGCATTTCCATTGGGATTCAAAAGAGAGTATGAGGGAGAGTCTTAACACTTTTTTTTAAGATTTTATCTTTGGAGTGCACGGAAAATTGAGAAAGTTTGTAAGGGAGTCTTTGAATTTTAGACTCACATTCAAGACTCCCAACTCAATCTCTAAATAAAAATTAGACACAAGTAATGAATACGAGTAACAGTTATTTTTTAAAAAAATAGGTGCAATGATTTTGTCAAAAAACCAATCCTTCCCATTAAAAAACAATCATCTATTATGTCTACTTATATAACTTTATTTTGTTATTCTTTTATTTTTATTTTATGTAATTTTTATTTTATGAGTTTTATATTTAAACTTCTTTTATGTTTGGCATCCTCTTAGCCATTTTATATTTATTTTTTTATTTGGCATTCTCTTAAGGATCAACCAAAATATAGTGACTGCACATTTTAATTATGTCTACTTATGTAATTTTAATTTATCGTGATTTTAATTTTATTTTATGCAATTTAATTTTTGTGTCTTTTTACTTAAAAGATTTTAAGGAAATATACTCATTTTACTTTATATATTTTATGTGTGTTAATTGATATAATTTTCTCAAATTTTATGTTGTTGATTTTTCTAATGAATAATCATATTTAATTATATTTATTAACAAATTTGGTAGAAAAATCAATGTATAGTACAACTATATCTTAGATAACTGATTAAATAGAAATAAAAATTAATAGAATAAAAGATAGTGAAATGTTGATGTGGCAAAGTCTAAAAGAGTTTGAAGATTGAAGTAATTTTTTTGAAAGTTTGAAGAGTTCGAACTACTGATGTGCTGACGTGAGAAAGTCTGAAAGAATCTAAAGACTTCCTGCATTGGGGATGCGCTTACTAACAATTCAGATAATTGTTTTTAAAGTCAAAAGAACCACGGTCTGTTTGATATTGGTCACCATTGTCATATGATGACTTAGGACTCCATCAGTGTCTGTTTGATAAATTGATGAATCCAATCCCCTCCCTTCGTTGATTGACTACAACCAGGAAAGATTTAATGTAACCAATACGTAAAAGGAGGGGAGGGCGGGGGGGGGGGGGGGNNGGGGGATTAGGGGTTAGAAAACATTAATTATTTTAACAAACATTGTAAGACCATGTGTTATCATGGGGCTTGACCACCGCCACATAGGCGCCATGTGGCTTGGCCCTCCCATCAACCCCATCACTTGTAGATACGTAATGGCGGAGGTTTGACCAATTTTTTTCTTTGTTTTATAGATAATATTTTTGTAAACATATAAATTAAAATAATAATTTAAATATACTACAAACGGGAAAAAATACGATAAAAAAGATAACAACGAAAAAAACAACAAAGGGAAAATAATACGTACAAGAATAAAACAATACATTGAAACACAAAGAGAAAATATATAACTAGTCTTCCATGTTCCATTTAGCCTGGATCTTCTCCTTTGCCTTCTCGGCGTCTTCTCTAGCCCGCCCGATCAAATGATCCGTTGGAGTCCCCATCATGTGCATGTCGTTGTTGTATTGTTTTTCTTGTTGGAGAGAAACAAACGTCTTCCTACGTTGATATGTCGTCCAACTTCTCTTCCAACTGGCTATTACTCTCCGAGGACATTGGACATTTTTCTCGGTTGTTACGACCTGGTGGGCGACGAGGTACGGGGAGCATGGAGTACTCCCCGTCATCTTCATCAGAGTCGTTCAAAGATATTTTGACTCTAGATGAGAAATGGCCCGAACCCACGTCGCTTGACGAATCTATCTTTGACCATTTTGACATTTAAAGTCTCGGGACGGTATGTCATTTCGTGGATTCACGCATGACTTCCCATGCCTTGATACTCGTGAACATACCAAGCTCACGAGCGTATTGGGTCAACGCCTAGGCCAAAACTTGTGAGTTGTTTTGGCTACTCTTTCGCGGCCTATTCACCTCGTTCCAAATACCACAGAATTTGGAAATCTTTGCTTGCATGTCTCGCCAAGTCGCCATTTACTTGAGATCATGTCGTTGGTGCGGTATTGGCCGTGACCCATCGTCTCAAAAAATTGACTTCAAACGCGAGCCCAAAACTCTGACGATGTTTGATTACGCCCTAAAAAAGAATTAACTTAAGTTGTTAGGAAAACAAGATAAAAAAACTAGAAATAAATAAATACCGAAAAATAAAAACAAAAAAAACCTAAAAAAATTAAACTCATACTGATATGAGGATATTCAGAGGTGTCGATGTAGGATCTGGCAAGTGCAACCTCCTCCTCTTCCATCCATTTGGTCATGGCGGGCTTTGTAATTTTTGCCGGCACCTCTTTCTTCTTGTGTTTTCTCTTCAAGGGTGCCAGCTCGGAATCAATGGCAGGGTGGGATTGAGTAGATGCTTCAAATTAGGTTTCAGGAACGTATTCGTTCTCGTATTTGGGTGCGGGTTATGTGGGTTGGGTGGGTTGGAACGGTGGGGTAGGAAATTGGCCCGGTGGGAACCAATTCGGATGATTATATGTAGGGTTTGTCAGTGAATTCGGAGAATTTGGAATATTTGGGTTGATTTGGGGTCAATAATAATTGAAAAAAAATATTAGGAAATGGAAAATTTGGGTAATTGGGATCCATGACAAAAAAAAATTGAATTGAAGATGAATGAAGAAGAGATGAAAATAATGTGTGGAGATGATGATATTTTTGATTAATTTATAGAGAAATATTTTTTTTCAAATATAGCCAACGGACCAAAAATTGTCCGTTGGCAACGATAGGCGCAGGAAACGAGACGGGCAATGCCCATGGTTACCTTCAAGGCCTCTTCGACACGCCTCCGCCACGCACTGGGTGTCGCCATGGTAACGGCGTGGGGGCATTACCGGCCAATCCACGGCGGCGATAACGCCCCATAACACATGGTCTAAGAGCCGAGAGTTATCTTATAACATTAAATAGCATTCCGTTCAACTTATTCTTTCAACTTATCTTTTATTCTTATTATAATCAGACCAGACCAGATCATACTAAATCAAATCAGACCAGATCAGATCGGATCAGATCAGAAATAATTATAATTATAACTACAATTAGATCAGACCAGATCAGATTTTCAAAAAAATTAGATCAGATCATGCGAACGGAACACAACGTATTGACGAATTTCACATGTACATTCCCGTTTTAAAAATAAAATAAACTCACAAATAATGACGCCTAATACTCATACTACATTAATACAGTCAATACTATTATAAATAATGATGTCTAATACTTTGTATTTCAAAATTAAAATAAAAATGTTTTTGTTTTTGGAGATGGGAGATCAATTCAAAAAAATACCATGTATGATGAGCATAAAAGCTGCATAACCATGGCATGGGGTATAATTTGTGGGGTAATTTACCGTCCGTTATGGGTGGAACCTTACCACTGCCCGTCGTCGCGTTTACACCAGAAGGCAGCATTCAGTTGCGCGGACGCCATTTCTTCATAAATACAGACCCCGCCAGGCTGTTTACCATGCGAATTCTATCGGCGTGTATTAAATGTTCTTGTTTTTTGTGCCGACTTGTTGGTTGAGTAGTTCACCGGAGTTTTGCGGAGTTCTCCAAGTTTTTTTTTGTTGTTGTTGACATTCTACAGTTTAGCTGAAACCAATGTCTAGAATTTCAGACTCCTAGGTTTTATTTTATTTTTTTTTGAATTTCGGCGATAAATTTGTTGTCATCCCGGAGACCTTTGATTTTTTCTAGATCTCAAATTGGGCTTCATTCCATTCAGATTTATTGATTTGAGGAGAAACAGGGTGGGAAAGGGACATTTTTGGTGGTGCATGAGTAGTTGATTCAGCTGCTTTGATGCTGTGATTTTTTGCACTTGCAGAGATGGTTGGAAGTGCTGAAGGAGAAAGCGGTCATTTGCTCCTCAATGGGTCCGTTCGAGCTGGAAATGGTTCCATTGAGGAGAAAGTGGACGAGCTTCGGCGTTTATTTGGGAAAGCAGATGGAGATCCATTGAGGATTGTGGGTGTTGGGGCGGGGGCGTGGGGCAGTGTTTTCATAGCAATGTTGCAAGACGCATACGGCGGGGTTAGGGATAAGGTTCAGATTAGGATATGGCGGAGGGCAGGTAGAGGGGTTGATAGAGCCACTGCCGAGCACCTATTTGAGGTGATCAATTCAAGGGAAGATGTGTTAAGGAGGCTGATAAGGCGGTGTGCGTACTTGAAGTATGTAGAGGCTAGGTTAGGCGATAGGACATTGTACGCAGATGAGATTTTGAAGGATGGGTTTTGTTTGAATATGATCGACACGCCCCTTTGCCCTTTGAAGGTTGTCACCAATTTGCAGGAGGCTGTGTGGGATGCTGATATTGTCATCAATGGGTTGCCATCAACCGAAACTGGCCAAGTGTTTGAAGAAATTAGTCGGTATTGGAAGGAAAGGATTACCGTTCCTGTCATTATATCTTTGGCAAAAGGGATTGAAGCCGAGTCGGAGCCTGAACTGCGACTAGTTACCCCCACTCAGATGATCAATCGATCAAGTAAGGGACTAAGGGGGTTTCCCCCTCTCAGACTGTTCATTTTCCATGAATGTCTGGTTCTGATTCATCCAGTATGATATTGATATATAGTTGCAATTTATAGCAGTTTCATTTATATGTGCTGCTGATTTAGTCTCAAATGTATTTTGGCCCTGTTTGGCAGCCTTATTTGCCGCATTTGTATTCGGCATGATCAGTATACCTACCTTTTGACTGACTTAGTTGGCTGAAAGAATAAAGATGTTTTTAGACTTTTTTTCTTTCAGAAAAAGATGCAGTCATTTCAGCCAAATGACCTTTACCAGACGAGACCTTAATATTTTTGGATATGAAGAGTATTAGAAGTTCACTTTAATCAGTTGTGATGTCTCTAGATTCTGATATATATATTCTTTTGTTATACTTGATTTTTCTTCCAGCTGGAGTACCCATTGAGAACATCCTATACCTTGGGGGGCCTAATATTGCTTCTGAGATTTACAACAAAGAATATGCTAATGCTCGTATATGTGGTGCTCAGAAATGGAGGAAAGTGCTGGCAAAATTTTTGAGACAACCACACTTTATTGTTTGGGACAATTGTGACCTTGTGACCCATGAGGTTATGGGTGGTTTAAAGAATGTCTATGCCATTGGGGCTGGTAAAACCTTTATACTCTTCAGTCTTCCCTTGTTTATATACAGAGTAACTTTTAGAATTATGGTTCTTACACCCTCAGTTAGCCGTGTATTTGTGTATTGTGGACTTGTGGTCATGCAATTTCTATGAGTTAGAAATATTTGATTAGGGTAAGCTTTGTTTCGACCTGTTGTCCTGTAGTATTTTTTTGGAACCAAAGCGAAGGGATCTTTCTCATTAAATCAACTCCACCTCAAAAACATGAGGGGACAGTATTTTAGAGCCTAATAGGAACTACAACATACAACTCACGGTAGATGTTGGAGTAAGGCTAGATGTTGCCTCCTTATAACCATCTCCTTAATATTCTGGAATGTTTGAACACCATTTACTGGTTTGTCTTGAAATACCTTAGGATCTCTAGCTTTCCAAATTGCATGCAAATACACAGCCACTGCACAAGTGTAAACATTCCTTCTCAGCTTTGGCCTAATTTTCCTTATCTGTTTTGACCCGTTGTATTGTGTACACATTCGTCTCTGATTTCATGCAGTAGATCTTTATGTAGAACCTATCCTTTTGACAAAAAATATGAATGCATCTTTAGGCATAACTGGTAACCAAGGTGTGTCTTTTAGCCTTCTTGGCATACACCATCCCTTTTTATTAAAATGCAAGGCGAGATGTTTGGAGAATCTACACAATGAGTTTTTCTCTTTCAACCTTCCCCCTTTTCCTTTTTCTGGTTGACTTTAAAGGGACGTTTGGTTCCAGGAACAGTTCATCATTATCTTTAAATTCACATTTTATTCAATACAACTTTTAATAAAGTTTAAAAATGTATAGCATTAATACTAAAATACCTCCCTTCGTCCCAGAAAAAAATCCTGTTTGGTAAGATGCACCATTTAAATTTTGGCAATGCACGACTTTTAAATTTCATGGAACCTTACATATATTTTTAATGTTCATTGTTTAACTAAATGCTAGCATAATTAACTTTTTATATAACTTTGATTTGTGGGAAACAAACATTAAAAAATGACTGGTTTTGGATGGAGGAAGTGAATGTTATGAAGGGAAAAAAATAAAAAACCTTGACTGACGCGTCCCATAAAATTTTGGATGATGGGAGTATGGGACTGATAATAAAGGCTTGTAGCATGAACTTAATGTTTGGTTTGGATTGAGCAGGTATGGTAGCAGCTCTTACAAAGGAGAGTGCCACGAGCAAGTCAGTATACTTTGCACACTGTACATCTGAGATGATATTTATTACTCATCTTTTGACGGAAGAACCAGAGAAACTTGCAGGTCCTCTCTTGGCCGATACGTATGTGACCCTTTTGAAAGGTCGTAATGCATGGTATGGCCAAAAGTTGGCCAGTGGGGAATTAAGTCTTGAAATGGGTGATAGCATCAAGGGGAAGGGTATGATACAGGTATGTGCTGCATGAGTACTCGTTAAATATTTTATCCTCTACAATCTGCTCTTACAAATTTTTATGTGACTGTGTGTGTGAGGGGGGGGATGCATTTTTTCATGTTGGCTCCCAAGACGGTTTCCTTCACATTGTATTTGGTTCAAGGAATTTGAAACGGAAAAGAAAACAAAATGAGGAGAAAAACAATTTTTCTTGTTTGGTTTGGGAGGAAAAGAGAATTAAAATGGAGGGAAAAGAAAATGGAAGAAGAAATGAACTAAAGAGAAAGAAAACAGTTTTCCTTCCATTTTGGTGAGGAAAAGAGAGAAAAGTCGTTTCTTTTCCTTTCCTTTCGAAATACACGAACCAAACATAGGGTTAGAGAATATATTTTGCATAACATTTTCAAGTGTTTGTTAAACTTCCAGAAAATAATTTCATGAGCAAGCCGTGTTCTCAAGTGTCGATACTTGTCCAAAGAATGATACTACATGCCTATGAAATAGTACTGCACAACACACCTTTCCAGAGAGTTGGAAAACTTATTTTTCAAGTCTCGGCACGTGAAATGATTTCCTCTAAAAAAAAATTCCACCCCCTTGCCAAATGCCAACCAAACACAGGAAAACAAGAAAATGATTTGCAACATGTGTACCAAATATTGTCTACGCATGAAATGTATTAAACCATTTCCGGGTACAACTCATTTTCTTGCAGGGAGTTTCTGCAGTAAAAGGCTTCTATGAGTTGCTCAGCCAGTCAAGTCTGAACATTCATGATTCCGGTGAAAACAAACATGTTGCCGCAGCTGAACTTTGTCCTATCTTAAAGACGTTATATAAAATCCTAATAGTGAGGTACTGCTCTGCTACTTTCCTTCAGTTAGATTTACTGTGGTTTAATCTTTTCTATGACCCAAAGGGTCTTATTTATCGGTAGGGGTAAAGTCTGGGACTTTACCGGGCTGTTGTTGTGATACGGGCCTAACGTTGCACGAGGAGTTATCGGATACGGGCCATGATGCTATTCCTGCAACACGTGAAGACCATGCAGATTGTGAGGAGGAACGTGAGGAAGTCCAACAGACCGGACGGCCGAAGAGGAACACACGGCGACCTCAACGTTACCAGGATTACGTTTAATAATTTTTATGTTTACTTTATATTTGTACTTTAGTATTTTTTTAGGTGGACGAATTATAAGTCCCTTCAAGGGTTTTCTTTTCGGTTCTTTCCCTTGACGCTTTTCTTGAACCGACAGGATTAGGATTA